GGTCGTCTGGATGTGCTTCCGGCTCGTCTTTCGGCCTTAGCGACTCCGTGGAGCCGCGATTTCTTATGCACCGAGGTTTGCTGGCAGAGCCGGCGTCGGACACCTGGGCGAGCTCAACCTGTCGCTGCTCAATCTGGTCGTTGAGCTCGTCCAGCCGCTTCAGCCAATCCGGGATGTTGGCGACCAGGTGCTTGAGAGCGTCCATGGCTAGATTCGTTTCCTCATCTAGATCGGAGCCTCCGAATGGTTGGAAAGCCGTTTTGGGCGGAATGGGGAGCAACGGGCGCAAGGGAGCGTCAGGACGGCGGCCCTAACGCTTCACCTTGGAGGAGTGGGAGATGGTTGTCGTTAGAGAGGTTCGTAGGGTAGGGAGGGAGGAGGGACTAGCAGTGAAGCTGGTGGGTGTTGTTCGTATGTGCAGTCTAGTAGACGGTGTTCGTCGTACACACGGGCACACAATCGTGGAAGGAAGAGTTGTAAGTATAAGGTCGTAGATGGTCGTCACGGAATAGCTATGCGGGCAGGAGGGAAACGTTGTTGTAGGAGTGATGGGTGGTCGATCACGAAGTCGAGACCATGAAGATCATATTGCGTCCGATTCCACTCCAAGACATTAGCAGCCCATTTGAGCGAGTGCCAATGTTTAAGGAATTGAAGCTCGGCCGCTTCTGATTGCTGTTCGACTTGGAAGTGGATATCGAGCGACGTGCAAGCGTGGGCTAGAGAATGGAGAGACTGTTCTGGCAGAGATCGTCTCCGGACTGAGTGGATAAATTAAAGTTTGATCGACGAGCCAAGTGGGCTGCGAGTGCGGGAAGCCGGAGGCAGGACGAAGCAGGTGATCTCGTGGTCTTAGAAAAAGCAACGGGCCGACGAAGATCTTGTAATCTCAGATATCTGATCAAGTCTAGGGATAAGGTATTTCCGTGTTGAAGCTGACGTTGATTCCATCTGAGAAAAAAGTTAGATCAAGAGGAAAGAAACAATGGAAGTCGCCGATGTGGAGGACGGGAGAAAGGGACGGCAGCAAGAAGGAGCGACAACCATGGGCGCATTTCTCCCACTTCAACTTGGCAGGAGCGTTCTCCGTTCGTTTTTGTGTCAAGGTAGCGAGTACTTTTATTAGCGCCGACCCTACTGGTCCGGAAGCCTTAACGCGGCAGCAGCTACGCGACTAGCGGATCTGCTAGTGCAGCAGTTCCGCGCCCTTGACAGGGACGTCGTGTGACTGAGGTGCATCCAAACTTCTTCTCAAATTCCCATACCATCACCAACAACCACGACAACGACGAATGCTCGAGCATGCCAATAATCTCCGCTGTTAAGATGGCATGCGACATCAGGACCCCTAAGACCTTCCCCTCAACAACACGAATCAGCGAATGAGAACTACTCGTGTTCGCTGTCCTCTCGGCCTTCCCCGGGATTTGCACTGCGACACTTAACTGATCTGATAAGTCATATAAGTCACTTGTCTCGGATCATTTCAGATCTGGATACCGGCCATTTCGGCTCGACCCAAGCCAACGAAGGACGCTTCGGTTGAAAACCTGAAGCCCTTCGGTTGAGCGTCCTATTGTGGTAATGTTATGTGCCGTGCCATTCCATTCTTTGCCAGACTTACAGCTATGACTGGTTGTTACCGCACGGCCACGTCAGCAACATTCGTTCTGTCTTGAGGAGATGATGCTCCATATAGATGATCCAATATACCCTCTGCATACGGAGACGCTTGCGTGCATGGTGCTGCAGGCTTACTTGACGGTTACTGCTCACGGCAGAGCGTTCGACCTGCACAGCTTACACTACACGCCTGTCTAGACTCAACCTTCTTATCAGGCTCATAGGGCTGAAATGTCGGTTACTAGAGCTTTCATCAGCTTTGGAGTCCCCTCTCACGTGCTGTCAAGGAGAAGCAGTCTTGTCGGCAACGAGAGAAGCCTCGAAGTTGAAAAGGGAACTCCACGTCACATCCAAGGGTCCCATGTCAGCGAGAGCCGGATCGACGCTCTCGAACAAAAGAATAGCCGACGCTGGAAGGTCCAGCCCACCACAACAACAACAACAACATCCTTGCGATGCGAAGGAGAACAAGGCAATGATGAGTTCCAACACGATGCAGCGTTGGAAAGACAACCTTGGATCTCCTTGCCGGCATCAACATCGAACCCCTCAGACATTCGGACCGGCTCCGAATTTCATGCCTCAAAGTACCGAGTACTTACAGTGTCGGCCGCCAAGCGATTCGTCAGTTTCTAAGATCCTGCATCTTGACGACATGCTGATGCGACCGCTCTCCTGCACGTCCACGTACAGCATGCGTTTTGGCATGTACATCACCGGCGCAGACCTATCTCGATTATCGTCAGTAGACCCCGACGGACCAGCAAATGACTGACATCGGTTGGGCCTTTCCGGCCGGTCACTTGGCGGTGATGCAGTACGCTCACAAGACAGGAATGCGGGCGCGCAGTGCAGCGCAGCGGTCGACAGACACACCGCCGCAGTGCATGACCTGCTCGCCAGGCGGCTACGGAGAATTTGTGATCTGAGGATTCACGGGCATTAACTGCAATTCGCATCTTTTGGCATTGCGCTGTCATACCTTTATCAGATCCTGACAGTACGGACATTACCGACATTTCTGCTTTCTATCCTCAAATTCGACGCTTCATCAATATACCTGATCCCTACCCGTCTCTATGACACGACACCCTACACATCTTTGAGAAGTCGACTCGGAGAAGGGGTTCACTTAACTCACAACGGACTGTTGACATGCCGTCACAATTGCCCTCTTGCATTCCCAATTCTCCGGCTGGCAATTCCGCAGCATGCCATTTGCTCGTTTCTGGGATCAGATCGCCGACCTGTCTCTCAACGAGTTAACGGTTGCCGGCCACAGCCCGCAGCGCAAAAGCCAAGGGTGGGATCGACCAGATCTGCATTTCTCAACGATGAAACAACGGCCGCATCGGCGAGTGCCGCCAGACGATTGCCGGGGGCGGGCTTACATCGTCGATCATGTCTAGACTGGCCTCTTTCTCGCTCTCTCTCTGTCCGTCATTCTCCTCAAATTCAAGCAGTTCGGGATATTTCAACCCGGAGAGGTCAACTTGTCATCACCGACTTATTTACTGCTGCCATCGCCCACCGGCATAGAAGCGGTCAACAACACCTCCCGTGCATTCGATACTTTTCAATGCGAGGGGACCGTTGGTGACTGACACAAGACAGGCACGGAACTTGCTCCGCAAGGTACAACCCTCCACTCGCCGACCGAGAGACTGCAGCCGGAAGGTCCTTGCCGGCCACTCATCATTCCTGTTGCAGCGCAGATTGGCGGGGATCGGGAGATCTCTGCTCTTTTTCATCCTTGCTTCTTCTGCCAACCACGCGGCCGTGACATCTTCGGCAAGATGCGCGGAAACGGCACATTTTGTGCTCGTGACTGCCAGTGACGGTACGCTGTTGGCATCAGAGGCTGGGGAAGGGGTTCTTCTTCACCGACAACTCTTCTGGAAGAATGTGCACGATCCGGTAACGAAAAATGCGACATACCTCGGTTTCATCATCTTGTTGCGGTCGTTGGCCGAACTGTTGAGGCTCGTTTCCGTTGGGGTCAATTCCTAAAATAACGCGAGTGTTAATTGCATCCGGTGGTGACCTTGAACTGCTGCGATATATCCTTCCAACCGAGGCTCTATTCCTACTGTTGCTTCCGAAGCTGCGGACTACGAAGGCAATGTCTTTAGGATTCCTCCCGTCAAAAAAGCTATTACAACGGCCTTGATGATCTGAGCCGTGCTCCGGAGAGCACGCCGACGAGCATTTGGTTTCGGGATATCAGCGGAGACCCGCCAGGGCAATGACAGTCCCCAGTCTCCATTTAGAGACTCGCCGCAATACCTACCTGACAGATTACCGCCAACGGAACTGATATTCTGCATACCTCCTTCAGTCTGAGCAGTGAACTTCCATTCCTGCCATTGTCTCGATCAGCACCATGCATCATCCTTTGTCTTCCAACACCTCTCAGGCCAACAAACCCCATGATCTGATGAAATGATTGACATCCCCCCCCCCGGTCCGCGCAATACAACCAAATCAGGAAAGGCCAGCGGGCCGGGGCAACCATCCGCCCCAGATCGCGATTTGAACCCTCCAATCTCCTCACACCGCCACGTGGTAAAATTGGCTCCGCCAAGCCCGCCCTCTTCAGACTCTTAACAATATCACCTGGCCGGGGAGGGGCCCCTGAAGCGGTCCGACATCCATGTTGAAAATAGCATCTTGGCGTTCGAACTTTCGCCTTCGTGTGACCGAAGAGTCACTGAAATGTCACGGCTTCTTTTGTCCTAACTTGCGGTTGATATTTTACAACATGTGTGGGAGGGACGGAAAGAATGCGCCGAACCTTTCAACACCGCTGTCGCACGACATCTTCGAAAGGCACAAAAGCCTTGTCTGCCGCCAACGTCCAACATCGAGGCTCGGGGGTAATGCACGTATTTGGCAGGTTATACAAAACGTTGCTCCGCTGCGAGGGCCTTTTGACATGCGTCGCTTGCTGCTGTGAGATATAGTATCGGAAATGCGGAACTGCGGCTCTTTGAACAGCGAACGAACGAACCACCAGAACACGGCTAGGGGGGGCTGAGCGTGATTGGCTGTGGATGGAGGTACAGGTTTCGCTGTACGGGACGCATACAAGTCCGGAGTAACACATTCAGCGATTCTGTTTCTTCGATGTTGTCTCCGACATACCCATCGGGTGGCAAGAGACGAGAGAGTGACGACCATTTGATGAACTGGCTCACCCAACACACATATTGGCTACCCTATACGAAACTTGGTCCATGGACGAACATGCAGCCTTTCCATTCAGCGCAAGAAACCGCCGGTAGAACGAAATCAACCGCCAGACTGTGACACCCTACCCTATGGTCATCCCTGTGTAAGTCTCCAATAGCTGTGCGCACAAAAGAAGAAAAAAAGATTCCCCTCGACCGGAATCGAGCCGGTGACCTTTCGATAAACAATTTTCCAATTACAGTCGAATGTGATATCCAACTACACCACAAGGGGGGTTATGGGATGACATCGGGCAGCTCTGTGGAACTCATGAGCTTGGGTCGGGGTCGTGGGTTACGGCGCGAGTCATTGCTCTGGTCGAGTCATTGCTCTAGACGCGGAGACTGATGCTGGATTTGAGGTTGAAGACTAAAGGGGAGAAAGAAAGGTTCGGGGTCAAACTGGGACGATAGGACGGACGACGGATATTGGATCGATGATTTGTGTGGTTGGGGACGCCAGATGGGGATGTAGATGAGGATGCCAGATGGGAACAAGGAGTTGTGAAAACAAAGTGTAGTCCAAGAGGGAAACCGTCCAGGTTGCAGACGGGAGCGTCCAGTCGTAAAGATTCGAACAGTCCAAGTCATCTGTGGTCAGAGGTAAGAGACATGAAGCAAGAATTCAACACGGGAAGTCCTGATGCCAAAGTCCAGAGCAAGAATTGTCTCCAACATAACAACAGGTTTGGAGGTAAAAGATGCCAAAGGGTAGACAGAATATAAGTTCAGCAGAAAAGGCCATATAGACTATTGTATGCCTACAATGCAAAAGACAACTCCTGTCCATGCTCATGGTCAAAACTGAAATAAACCCCAGTTCCCAGAAAACTCCCTGTCTGAACGCCATAAACAGAAAGCCCCTTTTTATCAATACATGTCCCGAAGCAACAACCACCCCCCCCCCCCCCCCCCCCCCCCCCCCCCCCCCCATAGTACCCTACCCTATACTTCAAACCCCCCAAGGGGGCCTCTTACCCATGACTGGCCTCCCGATCGCTGACAACCGCAACTGTGCAAAAATCCCTTCAGTCCGTCCATAACTTCATCACATATCCCTTCAGACTCCATCACCAGGTTTGCGTGTCAAACTTCCATCACCGGGGAAGTCTGTCTTCCTCCTCATCAACCCCAACCATCTAGGTGGTCTAAGCCAACCCGTCCCTAGCAAGTTCGTAACTCCAACCCCCTTCCCTCCGCATCCTCTCCCTCGCCTGCAGATCCTTCCTCACCTCCTCGGCCGTCAACCTGTCTTCGCCACTCCAATTCGCCGAACTCGTCCTGGCCCGGAACTTGTGGTACCTATCGCCCGCCTTGTTCTTCGAGTTGGTAAAGATCTCCTCCATGTTAATCGCCTGGGGCGGACCGAAGATCTGCATGGGATCGATCGTCTCCTGGCCCGCTAGTATCCTCCTCAAATCGGGTGAGTTGGTCCAGCTGGCGACGGGGAGCTTGTTGTTGCCGTTTGCAGGGGAGGCGTCGCTGTCGTCGTCCTCGTCGTCGGTCTGGATGTCGGGCAGGGAGATGTTGTCGCCCTGCTTGCCGAACGGGGAGGACCGAGAGACGGACTTGGCAGCGGTGTATTGCTGGGTGGAGGCGAGGAGGGCCTGGCGGGCGGGGGTTTTGTGGGCGGTTGAGGGGGCGGGAGGGTTGGGGTTAGGGGCGAAGGGAATCTGGCCCTTGGAGAATTGCGCTGTGTCGAGGGGGTGGGTGGGCTTAGCGGTTATGGTGTTGTGGCTGGAGGTCATGGTTTGCTTGAAGAGATCACGCGACACGCCTTGGGGCGCGGTGGTGTAGCCCGAGGTGAATTGGGACTTGGAATGGAGTTCCTGTTGGGCGTTAGTTTGGCGATGGTTCTGGGGAGGGTGCATGAGGGTAGGACCAACCTTCTTGAAGCCTCCTGACGGGCGGACAGGCGGGCCTCGGATGACGCTCCGCTGGCTGTCCGCCATGTCGATGTCTTCGTCAAACTCCTCGCTCATCCGCATACGCTTGGCTTCCTTAGCCTGGTATGACGGGCCGTTGCGCTGCATCTCGTTTGCCTCGGGTTGCAGCGTACGTTTGGGCGCCATCTTGGAGGCGTTTAGTGAGGCATTGACCGGGCGGCTGCTATCCTGGGGAATCATAGACCCCAAACGGGATGGCGGCCGGGATGGACCCTTGTCTGTCATGTTGTACTCTGACTGACCGATCGGCTGCTGGCGAGGAGCAGGCGGAGGAGCGCGCGTCTGCTTCGCCCGCTCGATGGCGGCCTGTCGCTGGGCTTCCTTCTTCGCCTGGGCAGCCTTCTCGGCAATCCTCCTCTCCTCCTCGATCTGGCGTTCCATCTCGGCCTTGCGCAGCTGCTCCTTGCGACGCTCCTCTTCCTGCATGGCAGCGCGCTTTCGCTCCATCTCGTGCTTAGCCTCCTTCTTCCGCTGAGCCTCACGTTCCTCTGCCTCCTTCCGCTTAGCAGCCAGCTCCAATGCCTTCGGTCGACCAGATGATCCGACAGAGCTCTTGAGGCTCTGCATGGAGGGCTTCTGGTGTAGGGAGGCGTGACTCGGCTTGCTGTTCAGCTGGCGCCGGGGCTCCTGGGGCTGCTGGCCCAAGGTGTCCTGGAGAGTCGCCCCGAGCAAGCTGTTGGAAGGATGAAACTGCGCCTGTTGAGCGCTGGTGGGCTTCACGCGGATGAGTGTCGGCGCTGCCTTGGCCTTCGAAGCAACTTCCTGTGTTGGCCTCGTTGGTCGCCTCAGAGCTTGTTGACCACGCGAGTTTCCGGGTGTAGTTGTAGGTCGAAGGATCGAGGGAGGAGCCATGGGAGGCGCGGCATCGAGCATGTCCATGTCATCATCCGCCGCCTCACGAGCAGCAGCAGCCGCCGCAGCTTTCTCCTCCGCCTCCTTCTGTGCCTTAGTCTTCCTGGGGCTGCTGCGCGTGGCCTTGGTTGGGCTCCTCGGAGGGGCAGGTGTGGCAATCTCAGCCTGAGGCGCCTTCTGCTGCTTCTTCGCCTCGCTAATCTTCCGCTCCATGGCAGCGAACTTCTCCTGTTGCTCGTTGAAGAGACGCGCCTTTTCACGTTCTTTCTCACGCTCCTTCTCGAGCTTCTCCATTTGCTCAACCAGACGCTGTGCGTCCTTGCGTTCCTTCTCCTTCCCCTTGGACTCCTTCTCCTTCTCCTTCTGTTCCTTCTTCTCACGCTCGACAGAAGCCCTTGTCTTGCGAGTGGCATTTCGAACAGGGCTGACCGCAATAGGAGGAGTAACCACGCGTTGGGGAAGTTCAGGGTAAAGAGGCTGCTCGTTGGTCTTCATGGACCTCAGCGAGTCGGTAGACGGGCCGGCATGCATGCCCAGCCTAGTAGTAGAAGGCGACATGAGACTGGCTTTGCCTTCGGCGCTCAGGGCAGCGCTGCTAGCGAGCAAGCCCTTGGACGTCTTCAGGATGGATGAAAGCTTGTTCTTCACGTGCTTCAACGGACTCTCTCGAAGACTGCGAGACGGCGACTTGGGTGGACTGTCGTAAGCACTGTTCTCAGCAACGGGGCCAAGCGTGGGGTTCGAGACGGAGATCGTCTTCTTGGGGGTCGAGGTGTTTTCCATGATGGGGAGGGATGGAACTGAGGCGGATTTTGAGTGACCATATGCGCTGGTCGTGCGCTCCGGAACGCCGGGTGCCTTCTTAGGGGACGTCGGCCTGCTCTTAGGAAGCACGAAAGCGGATCCTCCAATGGTGTCCTTGCCGTGGAGGCCTTCCATCACGTCGGCTGTGTGACACTTAGTCAATTCCGGTCGTGGAGATGCCATCCTCGTCGCTGGCTGGGCAGTAGGTGGAGGCGCAATCCAGTCGTCATCGTCATCCTCAGGGAAGGCTCCTGGAGCAGGAACTGAGAGCTTCTGCTGCTTGGCAGGAGACTGAGCCTTGGGTTCGGGGGCGGGTTGAGGCTGTGGTTGTTGTGCCTGATGAGTGGGCAATGGCTGTTGGGCTGGAAGGAGGTTGGCGAGAGACTTGGATGGTCTCGGTCCGCTGGGCTGTGATTTGCCCAGCATGCTGATCTGATCTTGCAGACGTTGGGTGTACGTCTTATTATGAGCGGCAATCGCGACCTTAGCGTCGACCTGGGCCTTCTTCACAACCTGATCGTCGTCGTCAACATCCATATCGTCGACGTTATCGTCCTCGTTGTCGTCGTTCTCGTCATCCACGTCCATGCCTGTATTGGCGCCGATGCTCCTACCACCAGTCTGCCTGTGATAGTAGCTAGTCCGTGTTTGCTCAAGCTGGCTTATCCGCGAGATCCTTGGGCCAAGGCTCTTTTTAGTAGTCAGCGGCTCCCGAGCAGGGAGCGAAGCGAAATTGAGGCTGCTCTTTCGCACAATGGGGCGAATAGGGCTGGAGCCGTCTGATGGTGACCGGAGATCTTCAGCAGTGGCGTCAACCTCCCCCGGTTGCTCGTCGACGGGTTCAACGGGAGCGGGAGTGGGCATGGGGATCTTGGTGGAAGATGCCGCCTTGACGGGAGACGTCTGGGGCGTCCAACTCTTGACCGGCGAGCTTTGCACAGGTCCAGGTTTCCTCTTTGGCGACTGTTGTGGTGTTGCTGAGGGCATTAGTGCCTCAACCTCTGGGAGTTGTTGTGCCGGCTTAACCGTCATATTCGCGGTGACCCAACGCGTCTGGTCTTCCTTCGCGGACTGGAAAGTCTCCTCAATCGATGCCCGTGTCGGGCTTGCCTGTGCGAACTGCGCGGCTGTTGTCCGTGTAGGGCTCGATGCAAAGTCTTGGGCCGCAATCGTGTCCATGGCGGTTTCTGGCCTCTTAAACAGCTCGTTGACTGTGACCATGTCAACATCCAACGTATCTAGTGACTGGCTCCCATGATATCCCGAGTCAGCAACCGGCACGGGAACGGGAAGTGGTTTTTGTTGTTGTTGCTGCGGGGCGACGGTCTTGGTCGGGCTCGCCGCTTTTGGTGCTGGCACGTCAGGCGCGTCCTCTGCTATCATGATCTTCGTCTTGGGTACGAGGTTGATGTTGGGGATGTTGGCGAATGGGTTCGGCGCGCCCTTCGGTGTGGCGGAGAAGATGTTGGACAAAGGCTGGAAGCAGTCAGCATATAGCCCCAGTTGTGAGTGCTTCAGGTCGCGTCTCTTACCACTCTCGCCTCACCAGCGTTGGTCTTCTTCGTGGTCCGTGGCGTCTTGCCTCGTAGCTTGCCAGGCGTCTTGAATAGCTCTGCAATGGTTCTGTAGGGAA